TTAAGGGTGTTCAAGATGTTAAATCCAGAAGGGTAGCTAGTCCTAAAGGTTAGGTTGGTTCTCGGGCAAGACAACTAAGGGAAGGAAGGGGTTTGTTAAGACAATAATATTAGAGGAGGATATAACGAGTTAATAATATAGCCTAAGTGTAATCTAAATAATAGATTACTAAATAGGTTAAACACGAGTATAAGGGTTCATACTCAAGTTTCTATATACTAGTCTACTCGGCTACTTAGGGCTCCTGAGCAGCTAAGCAGGTCACGTAACTCGTCTTGGCTACTCGGCTACTCAGGGCTCCTAAGCAGCTAAGCAAGTCACGTGACTACTATCTAAGTGGCTTGGCTGCTCTTTATCTCGTCGCAACCCTACCACTGCATCCTCGCACCTTTATAAGCACCCCACCTCACCCTTCTATCTTCCGGTTCTTAACAATAACTTAGTAATCCTTAACTTAGGCATAACTATTACGAACCGGGAGGTAAAAGGGTGGAACGGGCGCTTATAAAGGTACGAGGATATAGTGGTAGGGTTACGACGAGATAAAAAGCCGCCAAGCCACGTAGATAGTAGTCACGTGACCTACTTAGCTACTTAGGAGCCCTAAGTAGCCGAGTAGATAAGTATATAGGAACTCGAGTATAAGCTCTTATACTTATATTTAACCTATTTATTAATCTATTATTTGGATTATACTTAGGCCATATTATTAATTCGTTACATCCCTCCAATACTATCGTCTTAATAAAACCCCTTCCCTTCCCTTAGTTGTCTTGCCTAAGAACCAACCCTAACCCTTTAGGACTAGCTACCCTTCTGGATTTAATAGGCAGCTATCACTAGTATAGAGATATGGCATAAATAATTAGGCTATCTAGGACCCAGCACGCTTAAGCACCTAGTATAGTAAGCTAAGGGGGTACATATTAAGGGCGTACCTATAGTTAAATATGACGCCTATAGTAGAGTAAAGTCGAAACGGCGCATTAGGTAAGAAGCTAGGCCAAATAGTAAAGGACCTAGAGAGCGTATTATAATCGACTTCTATAACTATAAGGCATAAAGCTTTAATAAGGAGCGTAGCTAAATACTCGCCACTAATTAATACTTAGGCCACATATAGGACTTCTACTTTAAGAATAATTGGCCTACTAGATTAATTATTAAAGTTTTAAATGACCTTATACTACTACTAGTAGTATAGTTTAGCCTAACTATTAAAGTTATTAAATTAGATAAAAAGATCTTTATAGTTAAG